AGCAGTTTGAAACTACCAGCTGTTCCACAGGAGAAAGATGAGGCTTTCTGCTCCCGTAAAGATTTACAGCCTCGGAAACCCTGTACAGGGTCGCTATGACTTGCAACCGACTCCGTGGTCCATAACCACCACATAAGGTTTCCGAGGCTGTAAATCTTTTACAGGAGCAGAAAGCCTCATCTTTCTTCTGAGGAAATGGCTGGTGGGTTTGAAGTGCTGACCTTGTGGTTAGCAGTCCAGTGATTATCCTACAACGTCAGCAGGGCCTGTGTCCAATGCTACCGGGAGCTCTGGGCAAAGGCTGCAATCAGAGGAGGGCTGTGCTGAGCAGAAAATGCCCTGGGCTGGCCCTGCTGGGGCTGCTCTTGTGTTGGCCTTGTCCCGAAACCACAGGCACATCCCGAAGGTGCCACAATGGGAGGTTGTCTGTGAGCTGCAAGTTCTCTTCAGTTTTGAAGAGCAACCTCAGTAGTGGGCCTCCAGGGAGACCCCCGGAAGCACCCACCTTGGCTGAAAGGCTTCTCCCCCTCCAGCTCCCCAGCACACGCAGCTCCCCCTCTGCGGAGTCCCAGCACCTCAGGGCTGGGTCTCACCTGGTCCTTGAACCCCTGGAGGTGCCCTGCAGTGACATGGGGACTGTGGGGCTGGCAGCTGTTCCTGGCTCTCCAACCTCTTGGCAGTTCATTGTTGCTGAGCCTCATTTACCTGTCTGTAGTATAGACGCAGTGGCCATGACTCTGAGGATGCGCTGCCCTTTTGTTGTTGTGAAGTGCTGTCAAGTCGGTTCTGACCCATAGCGACCCTGTATAGGGTTTCCGAGGAGCAGCTGGTGAGCTTGAACCACCAACCGTGCAGTTCAAACGGCTTTGCAGTCTGGCGCATTAACCCACAGCACCACACCAGGACTCCTTACAGAGGAGGAAAGAGGAAGGGCCGAATTGAGCACCTCCACGTTCTGTTCTGTTGTGGCGCTGTAGGATAAGCACTGCTAACTGCAAGGTTGGCACTTCAAACCCACCAACCATTCCTTGGGAGAAAGATGAGGCTTTCTGCAAAGCCTATAAAGATTTACAGCTTTAGAAATCCTATAGGGGTCACTGTGAGGCGGAACTGACTCAATGGCAGTAGGCGGGTTCCAGATCTAAGACGCTCTGGTGACGCACTGAGTTAAGGATTGGGCTGGTAACCACAGGTCAGTGGTTCAAATCCACCAGCCTCTCCTTGGAAACCCGCTATGAGTAGGAACTGACATGACAGCATTTAACGTGTCTGTGTTCCTGCTTCCAAACTCCAGCTGCCTTCCCAGGTGGCTCTGGGACATGGCTTGCTCTGCAGGTCCTGAGGTGATGTCAGAGAGCGAGAGGGCTGGAGGGCACCGGACTTCATCAAGTTTACAGACAAGAAAGGCGGGGAGGCTGGACTGTCCCTGCAGGGTAGCTGCGACCACTCCAGCACCCCTGTGTGTGTATGTGTGTGTGTGTATGTGTTTACCAGAAGCCTGACCGTTTTGTGTACTGCTCCCACACGGGCTGGGCAGCTGGCGCCGAGGAGTCAGACTTTGAAGGCTGGGCTTTCCCCTTCCCGGGCGTGATGCTGATAGAAGACTTTGTGACCCGGGAGGAAGAAGTTGAGCTGGTACGGCTGATGGACCGGGACCCCTGGAAGCTCTCACAGTCTGGACGGAGGAAGCAGGTGTGCCGGCTGGAGCTCGGGGTGGAGGGTTTGTAGGCCCCTTCTCCCACCTCACTGAGCACTTCCCCCAGGACCGTTCATGAGTGGGCCAGCTTCCCATAACTGACGGTACTAGCGGTAGTGTGTGGGAGGGATGAACAGCCGAGTCCGCTCAGCATCCCAACAGAACAACATGAAGCTCAAAATCCAGGGGGCTGCTCCAAGTGCCCGCGCTGTGCCACTCTTCTCAGCTGGCTTCTGAGATGTCCTGAAGGAAGACTTGTGGCTGCCACCACTGTACCCACTGCTAACAGGGCCATCTGACTGAGCAGCCCAGTGGGACAGAGTAGATCTGCCTTGTACGGTCTCTCTCCCGATTGGCTGCACACGTTCCTGCTGATCTTCCCACCTTGAAGTCCCAGGCCTCCTCCTCCTTCAGACCACCCCCTTTTCCTACCTCACTCTTTGCTACCTGGAAACCCTCAATCCCACTGATACCTGTGGCCCTTCCACCCTGCCCTGCCCCTCTTGTCTTCGCTTTCCCAGTTTCAACGCCAGGACCACTTACCACAGTCTACTTCCTCAGTCTCCTCTGTTAAACCATGACCTCGGTGAAGCCCACCTGGCTACTCTGCCTGTTCCTGGCAGCAGCCGATGACAGATCCCCTCCCACGAGGGTCACACTGGCCTTTTCTCCTGCTCACCCTCCCTCATCACCCTCAGAGCATGGTGGACCTCAAGTTGCCGGGCAGATAGCAGCACACCTGTCTGTGCGTCTCTCCCAGGCCCCCTGTCCTCACCTGCCCCTCTCCTGAAGGCCACAGAGTTCCCACTGTCTCCTGCGCTAGGCTGGCTCTGCCCTCTGTTGGGTCTTTGCCACTAGCATGCCCAGAGGCTCATTCTTCTTTGCGGCCAAAATTCCTCAGAGGAGTTGCTTATCTTCCTGATCTTTGCCCCTTCTTGTCACACCTTCAAAGATCTGCCCGCCATGGCCATGGCCCAAGCCCAGCCTCAGGCCTCAGCCCACCCATCTCCAGTGGTCCCTGCAGTTAACCACACTTTTCCCTTGGAAACACTTTCTTTGCACAACTGGCCACTCCCCTCAGGCCTCTGCTGCTTCCTCAGGTTGGTGCATGCCCAGGCCCAGTCCCTGGGTCTCTTCTCTTCCTTCTGGGTTCACTCTGTCGGTGAGCTCAGTGTCATGGCTTTCACTCTGAGAGGAGCTTCTCCTGTGCTTCGTTGTTGTTGTAAAGTGCCATCGAGTCGGTTCCAACCCATAACGACCCTGTATAGGGTTTCCGAGGAGCAGCTGGTGAGCTTGAACCACTGACCTTGCAGTTCAAACGGCTTTGCAGTCTGGCGCATTGACCCACAGCACCACACCAGGACTCCAAAGCTTACAGAACCTGGTATTCCCACATGGTCTCCCATCCAAGTACTAACCAGGCCCATCCCTGCTTAGCTTCTGAAATCAGATGAGCTCCGGCGCATTCAGACCCTAAAACGGGCTTGTTCTCCTATCCCCTCACAGCGGACCCCAGAACCACAAATTCTTTTTTCCACCTGCTCAGCCCAGACACCTTGGGCTTGACCCCCATTTCTCTCCCTCTCTCATGTCTCACTGGTAATTCAGTCAGTGTTTCCTTCGGAGCATGCCCTACGTCTGAGCACCTGACCTCCCAGCTTCCCCACTGCTGCCCCCTGGAGTCCAGCCTCCAACTCTCCTGCCTGCAGTGGTTTCCCGCTCTTAACACTTGCTCCTCTTCAGTTCCTGTTCAGTATGGCAGGAATATGACCCTTCAAACCTGTCATGTCTCTGTCACAAATCCGCTAATGTTTCCCATCTCTACAGACGACCCTGCTGACGGGCCACTCCCACCCCACCAGCCCAGCCTTCACTTCCGGCGACAGGCACAGTGGCCTTTTCAGTGTTTCGTGTGCCTGCAGCTCATCATGGCTGCCGCAGCTCCACCTGGCTCCTCCGTGCTGTCCTTTAGGGAGGGTCTCCTCAGGCAGGCCTGCTTGTTCTGGAACTGAGGTGCCACCTCGGGACGTCTCTGTCTTGCACCTCCTCCCCTGCCCACAGACTTCCTGTCCCACCTCCCTCAGTATCACACTTCCTGGGGTGGGTGCCCCTGGCCTGCATACTCCCAGCACCTGGGATATAGACGTTAACACAAACCTCAAGGTGGTGGACAAATGCTTCCCTCTCTGTTCCTCAGATTCTATACTGTGGCACTGTAGGATCAGCACTAGACTGCAAACCACAAGGTCAGCAGTTCAAGCCCACCCACTGCTCCTTGGAAACCCTATACAGGGTGGCTGGGAGTTGGAATTACACTTAATAGTAACGAGTTTTTCAGGCTGTGGTGCTGAGAGGAGCAGCTACAAAGCTTCTCCCTAATGTTGCCTATTTTGCTCACACACCCTTTTCACGTGAGCTTGAGTGAGTTTTTGTACATTCACAATGCTGTGCAAGCACCATTGCTGGGCAGTTTCAGAGCACTCAGGAAAGGAGCCTGGTACCCATTAGCAGTCATCCCCCGTTCTCTCCCCTGAGCCTGTCTGTGGATTTGCCCAGTTTGGAATCATATACTAGGGGGTCCTCCTTTCCCTCAGCATCGTTACCTTCAAGGTTCTTTCTTGTTGTAGCTGTGTCAGAATATTACTCCTTTTAGAGCTGAATGTATTGTCTGCATCTGCCACCTTTTGCTTATCGAATCATTGTTGATAAATATGTAGGCTAGTTCTGTTTTCTAGCAGTGCATAAGGTTCCTAGGAACATTTGTGTATCTCTTTTTTTAATTACTATTCTTATTGTGAATGGGTGAAGTCTTACTGAGTAATCATTTTCCATCTAATAATTCATATACATTTTTTTTTTTTTTTTATCATCTCATTGATTTCACTCCCTCAAGTGCCACAGCCGTCTCTCCTCCCACTTCTTCCCTGTGTTTCCTGTTTCCATTCTTCTCTCCTACCCCTTCTGAGCTCTGTCCTGGGGTAAATGCTTGCGCTTTTGATCTCAAATGGTTCATTATTCTAAGGTGTGTATACCTCCCTACTGGTACTGTTCCATCGTGTTTATGTTTTTGTGTGGACATAGGCTTCTCTTGAACGTTATTTGTGATTGGAACACTGGGTTCTATGGTACCTGTTCTTCTGAATGGTGTGGAACCTCAGTTGACCCCGGGCTGACCAGCTCCCTAATGTGGCCTTGAACTGACTTCTCCCTCCCTGATCATGTTTCCCATATCCCCACTCTTGGGGATCTCATTCTAGAATAAACTTTGTTTCTAACTCTGCTTTCTGGGGACCCAAGGTGAAGACTACCTCTCCCTCAGCACCTCACATCCCTTCCCTGTTTGGTGTTTGCCCTTGGCGCATACTGCCACCTGATGCTCGCGCTGGCATTTCTTGATCCTTGGTTGCCTGCCTCCCTCGTCACCTCCTGCTCACTGCCATGGATGCCCAGGGTTGTCATTTTGGTAAACTCCACTCTTCTCCAGAACCTTTTTGTTCTCACCCTTCAGGACTACGGCCCCAAAGTCAACTTTCGGAAACGGAAGCTGAAAGCTGCTGGCTTCAGAGGCCTGCCTAGCTTTAGCCGGGAGGTCGTGCAGAGAATGAGCCTCTACCCCGGCCTGGAGGACTTCCGGCCTGTCGAGCAATGTAACCTGGACTACTGCCCTGAGTGGGGCTCGGCCATCGACCCCCATCTGGATGACACTTGGCTGTGGGGGGAGCGGCTGGTCAGCCTCAACCTGCTGTCCCCCACAGTGCTCTCTCTGTCTCACGAGGCACCTGGCAGCCTTCTGCTCTGTCCAGCGCCCCCAGGCTCCCTGGAGCCCTTGGTGGAAGGCGTGATGGCCTTCAGCCGGTCCGTCCTGTGCCAGGATGTGGAGGTGGACATCACCTTGCCCCGCAGGTCTCTGCTTGTGCTCTCGGGTGCGGCGCGGCACGAGTGGCAGCACGCCATCCACCGAAGACACATCACAGCCCGCCGCATCTGCGCCACCTTCAGGGAGCTGTCCCCCGAGTTCTGCTCCGGAGGGCGGCAACAGGACCTGGGCCAGGAACTCCTCAACATTGCCCTCTCTTTCCAAGGCAGACCGCTCTGAGCACCAACATGAGCGCCACCTGGGGGCCCAGCAGCGGGGGACCGGCCTGCCACTCACTGGGACTTAGCGGGGCTCAAGCTCCTAAAGAAGTCCATCTGACCTGACACCTTGCAGGGCTTGATGATGCACCTCAGCTCTCTCTCCTTCCTCCATGTTGGTTATTTAATTAGTCGGTTTTTAGGGGGCGGGTGTCATGTGAGCTAAAAGAATTTTGGTCCCAGTTCCAACAATTTTCAGCTGTATCCATTTCTTTGGTGAATTTCCCCCAAGATGCCTGTGTCTTGGGAGCATGGAATCAGTGAAAAACCTTGGGAGCTTGGAGAATGGAATCAGTGAAAAACCTGAAGTTCCTTCAGCTTCTCAGTGACAGCCCAGTCATACGTTGACCCCCTGAGCTGGGGGACGCAGCAAGGGCAGGGAAACCTGGGGGCCTGGAACCTCCTCGCTGCAAATAAAACTCTCAAAGTTACAAAACAAAACAAAACAACGCTCGTCTTCCAGTATTGTGTGACATGGCTTACTCGCTGCAGCTGCTCACCTGTGGGCAAGTGGGCGGGGGCGAGCCCTCACCTGCTGCTCATAAGCAGCAGCTGGGATGCCAAACAAAACGCACTCTCTAAGGAGCTGTGGTAGTGGTTACAAATCGGACTGTGAACCTCAGAGTCAGCAGTTCAAAACTACCAGGTGTTCCACGGAGAAGGATGAGGCTTTCTGCTCCCATAAAGATTTACAGCCTTGGAAACCCTGTACAGGGTCGCTATGAGTCAGAACCGACTCCATGGCACAGAAAACAACAACAGGTGCTGGGAGCCAGACACACTCAGGATGCCTGAGAGCGAGCCACTGCGCCATGCCGTGTGAGCCACCCAGCAGCAGAGCCAGCGCTGGTGAGGAGAACCCCAGGAAAGATAGGTGCTCTTAGGTTCCCTGGGGGATGGGGTGGGAAGCAGGCTCCCAGACAGCTCTCGGAGAACAAGGGTGGAGGACAGACAGGCTTTTCCCCATGGCCACCATGCAGGGCCGCTGTCTGCCCAGCGGACGTTCACGTGAAAAAGCCCAGCGTGACTATCTGGGCATCAGAGGGCTGGGGAAGTCGGCCCCTGCCAGGCTTTAGAGCGACCCTACCCTTGGGTGGTGTCTACAAGAAGCATGCTGGGGAGACCCAGAACCCCGAGCTGTCCCTGGGCTTTACCCGGTGTGAGAAACTTGCTTCATCTGGCGTGCCTGGAACCCAGGGCTTGCTAGACATGTGGGCCTCTGGTCCTTCCTACAACCCTGTAGAATACATGCTAGGAAATGGTCCATTACAGGATAGTGATGTTGATGACCCCGATAGTCAAGTTTGTCCTTGGAGCTACCTTAAGAAGACTCAGGCTCCATTTGACCACTTTCTCCCACAGCAACAGCCCATCCCCCCCTTCCCCCCCCCCAGCAAGGTGACTGACAGGCCAGCCAGGAGGGGGCTGCGAGGTTGCAGCCCTCACCCACAGGCTCCTGGATGCCAGTGTGCTTCACATTTCAGAGGCCTTGGTCCCTAGCAGTCTGTGACCTGGGGAGCCGACCTTTGTTAGCTCCTGTATTTGGATAGCCCGTCACAGATCCACTCAGCAAACTCCTTCAGCACCAGCTGTCTCTTGTCCACTGTGTAGTCGAGGCTTTCTGTAGCCTTAAACTAAGATAAGCCCATGAGAACACACATCACATGGGAGTATCAGCTGAAAGCAGCTTCCTGCCCCATCCGATTCCAGAGGCTCAATGGCTGCTCCCAGGCCTGACCTGCCTAGAGGCCCTGGGGAAACTGGTGTGTTGTGTTCAAAGTGGTGGGTTTAGGAAGGGGACGCTGATTACAGAACGCACCCTCAGGTTACTCCTGCCTAAATTATTATTATTATTATTTTTAATTTAAGGTTTTTATTGTGGATTGAGTGAAAGTTTACAGGGCTTATCATCAGTTTTAAGGAGCTCTGGTAGTATAGTGGTTACAAATTGGGCTGCGAACCTTAAGGCCAGCAGTTTGAAAGTACAAGATGAGGCGTTCTGCTCCCGTAAAGATTTACAGCCTCGGAAACCCTGTACAGGGTCACTATGGGTCAGAACCGACTCGAAGGCACTTAACAACAACAACATCATCAGTTTTACATTCAACAAAACATATACCTTTGTTTCATTACATTGATTATAATCCCCTCCATGTACCATCAGTTAACAGTATTTCTCTCTATCCGCTTTAGCTTTTTAAAAAACACACAAACAAAAAAACCCACTCAGGCATATATAATAATTTACATCTCCAAAGGGCACATTCTGCAAGTCTGCTCCTGGCCACCAGCTCTTAGTCCCTCTCTTCTTAGTCCATGAATCTAGAGTCCTCAGACGCGCCCCCTCTCCATGCTCCCATCTTGGCCTCCATCTCTGGCACTGCTGCTTCTCTGGATAAGGTCCCACATTCTACTTGTGTGTTCCTCTCTAGATGGTCCTAGGGTCCTCTGTTTCTGGACTGTAAGATCAACCACTCCCCTTTTTTTGTTACAAATCTTCTACCTTTACAATTGTGACAGTTGCGATTAGTCATGATAACAGTTATTCACCATTGAATCTTACGAATCTTATCCCCATCTCTTTTCAGCAGACCCATCTAGACAAGATGACAGCTATTCAGTGGGGTCTCTTTCTTTCCCCCCATACTCTTAAACTCCCTCTTGAAACCTTGTAAGCCATCACTTTGTGCCTTTATTGCCCCCTCATTTTAGGTAGCCAGTGTCTAAGTTGCCCATCCCTATCTACCCTGTGTACAGAGAGGAGGATAGCATTGATACTTGATGTGAAGACTCGTTCCCTCTCTGTTGGTAGGTATTTAGAGTAACTACCGCTCTGAGTATAAGGAGTTCTGGTAGCGTAGTGGTTACGAATCAGGCTACGAACCACAAGGTTAGCAGTTCGAAACTACCAGCAGTTCCGCGGAAGAAAGATAAGGCTTTCTGCTCCCGAAAAGATTTACCGCCTCAGAAACCCTGTACAGGGTCACTATGAGTCGGAACCGAATCCTCGGCACATAACAACTGCTCTGAGTATAGGTCAGGTTCATCATGAAGATGTATCTTCTGTTCCAGTTGGCTTGTCCTTTCTAGTGGGAATATCTCACCTCACAAGGTTGTGGATGGGACTCAGGATTCCACCTAAGGTTCTATATACTCTGTAAAGGCTTTGCACGAGGCCTGTTTCACTGGGCAAGTTGTAGAACCCCTTTTAGGTATTCCAATCTGTTGGAATTGGCTGAAGACGGGCTTACAAGTTTTCTCTAATCATGTTTCCCAACATTCCTTTCTATACCACTCAAGCGTCTTATTTTACAATAGTAGACAAGGGAAACTAATATTCATAAGGCAGTCAAGGATTTTAGTATTATTTACCCTCTTCATGCTCCACCTAGATCCCTGTATCCCAGAGCCCTGTTGTTCCAAGGTTGACTATGCATCACTATTTACCTCTGTCTCACTAGGCCATGCAAACCTGTCTCAGTGTTCCCCTATCTATCTTGTTCTTCTGCCTCCTCCCCCCTTCTTGTACTGCCCTCCCCAACACCCAAAGTAAACCCCCCACCCCAACCCCATAGTGGTTACCTTATATTCCATTAGTTCTTCCCTTCATTTAAGATAGTCTATTTTATCCAATAATCTACCTGACCTTCCCATCACCTGGATCTCTGTTCCTCTGTGTTTACCTTTTTTCACACTGTAATTGTTTTGATCATAGACTGACCTCCCAGATCCTCTGTTCTTATTTTATTTTGTTCTTAACTTTTCCATTTGTCGATTGAGTTCAGGGTGATGCCGCCATGTACGTCATTCTGTAGTTGTCGTCTGTTCTTGTTGGTTCTCAGTCCACAGAA